CTCCTCCTCCTCCCCATTCAATACCCAAATACTTTGCAAAATTCTAAAAGTTTGCAAAATTTTTGCTTTATGGCTTGAGTAGGGCCCTGTGTAGAGTAAGACTGAGTTTTACCCACCTTCTTATGTTCAAAATTAAAAGTTCTTTTACGAAATGAGACAGGGAATCCCCAGAAGCCCAAATGCTCTTTGGTGATGCCCTAATAAAGAGCATTTGTTCTTGATGTGGTTCAGGCAGTTCAGTGCATGGAAAGGGACGGCCACACGTAAAGGTCGGCTCTTCAGGCTGGTGAGAAGCTGTGGGGGCCGAGGGTGTCTTGCTGCCGGAAGGCTTTGTGGCATTAATGGGCCAACCGCTCCTCCTTTCTAGGGCAACTCCAGGCGGTCCAGCACCTCTGCCATTTCCACAGCACGGTTGTCCCAGATCCAGCGCAGTGTGTCCTCTACAACGAATATCAGCTCACCCTGCTTAGGAAGATGTCCGACAAGGTCACGGAAGGGCAGGTGCTGGAGACCATCAGCCAGCTCTACCTGTCTCTGGGGACAGAAAGGTAGGAACTGCAACGCACAGCAGAGGTGGGATTCAGCAGGTTCTGGAGAACCGGTAGCGGAAATTTCGAGTAATTCTGAGAACCGGTAAATACCACCTCTGGCTGGCCCCGCCCCCATCTATTCCCTGCCTCCTGAGTCCCAGCTGATTGGGAGGAAATGGGGGTTTTATAGTATCTTTCCCCTGCCACACCCACCAAGCCACACCTACAGAACCCGTAGCAAAATGTTTTGAATCCCACCCCTGTAACGCAGGAGCTTCCAGTGAGGAGGGTGTTGTCACTCAGCCACTCTGTTAGTGAGCTGGACACAAGAGTATCCTTCTGCAGGCAGAAGAGGCTGCCTTCCCCTCAACAAAAAGTTACTTTATCCCAAGAACAGGGATACCCTCTTCTGATGTCTGGGATCAAAGTTTCCATCATTGTCAGCCAGCCTGGCCCGGCCCGAGCTCTGCGGGACAAGCAGCGTTGTTCAGCCCTTCCCCACAGTGGCTGCAGGATGCTTGCATTCTCTCTGGGGGGGGTGGGGGTGTCAGGCATTTCGGTCTTTCACGTTAAGTGGCCTGCTGAGAGTGGTGCTGAGAAGACCCGGACTTTGACACTGCAGGGAAAGCCCTGGAGGGTCTCAGCCCCCCACCTTCTTTCTAACATTCTGATCTTCACGGCCAGCAGAATTTCGGGAATAATGCAAGGTCAGCCGGATGGTGTTTCTCCTTCTCCTTCAGGGCCTGCCGGTCTGCCCTGGACTACCTGAAGAGAAGCCTTGGCATCTTCATTGACCTTCAAGCCAAAAATAAGGAAGCCCAGGCCTGGCTCCAGGCAGGCAGGATCTACTACGCACTGCGGGAGAACGAATTAGTTGACGTTTACATCCAGGTAAGGGGAATCACCTGGGGAGGTCACTGAAGCTGACCTTTTCCTCAACTGTTTTAACTAAAAAAAAGAGCAGATGCTAATTTGGTGGTTTTTAAAATGACCCGTCTAACAAGTAGGCGATGGGTCTTTCGGCCGTATCTTGATGCCCTCTGAAATTTACTAAGTTTACTTTTCTCAGGAAGAGCAAATGGGCTCACAACTAATTATTTCCATATATCTCAACATTATAAATACTTTTTTTAATAAATAGAAATATACACTTTCTAGCTATTCACAATTTGCAATTGATAGTGTTCCTCCCATCAGAAGTGTCGATTGCTCCTTCATATTCTATCCCTTTCAGTTGAAAAATTGCCTGTGAGTTTGCTTTTCCCCAGACGGGCAGTGAGAGGTGGGAACCTCATTGTAGATCAGGTCCCACAAACACGTGCTGGGTCATTCCGCACACGGATTCTTCCAGATGCGCTGACCCCTTCTAGGGGTCAGCAACCTGGTCTAAGCAACTCTGGAGCCGCATGTGGCTCTTTCATCCCTCTGCTGCAGCTCCCTGTCGCCAGTCAGCTCCACAATTGATAGGGCTTCCGGTTAGGACAGGTAGAGGAAGAAGGACGCCGCCCTAGGAGGAGACTCTATGGGGAATCGGACTTCTGGTCACTCCAGACTTGAACAGGAGGCTTCCGGTTAGGATCTCTGTGGCTCTTTGAATGTTGCCGACCCCTGTTCTCTACACCATCTTCTCTATGGTGCCTTTATAGCATCTTCAAGATGTCACCAAGCCTTGGCGGAAAGGATGGAATGTTTTGTGGCTGTGATTTGGGGGTGCTTCAAGAAGACCTTCTACATTTCCAGCAAAGAAGGGATGACCCAGTTCTTATTCAAATGTAAAATGTGACGACATCAGAAGAGGCGGCTAGCGGCCGTTCTAATTCCATAAAGCCTATTTATGGAACGCTGGAAGAAGAAGAAAGTGGATTACAAGCAGCTTTGGGTTGCACAGGGCTTCTGTTCCTTTCCGTGTTGCTCCCTCTGCTAAAACCCTCCTTCCCTCCTAGGTTGCTCACAACGCTGCTTTGAGCTCTCGGGACCCCAATTTAGAAATGGAAATGCTCGAAGCCTCGGGAGACATTTTCTTCAACGGAGACTGGGAGAAGGAAAAAGCAGCCCCCTTCTACAGGGTGGGTATCCTCTTCCCACCCTTCGCCCGGGTCGTCCTCGAGAAATTGGGCAGATGAGGCTGGGTGGGTGGCCTTTGGGATGCCGCACCCTGCAAGACGGCCCTTTGTCTCCTGCTCCTGTTTTAGGACAAGGCCCTGCCGCTCGCTGTGAAGGCCAAAAACAGCAGTGCTGAACTTCGCCTCTTCAACAAGTTGGTTGGGCTGTTCTTGACCTTACGGAAGTATGAGGAATGCCTCGGATACGCCCAGGCGTCACTAATGCTCAGTGTGGATTTAGGTAAACCTGCCCAATGCGTTTCCGAAAGTCACTTGGGGATGTCAGCGAAGACAGAGAAGGTCACCTGGGCAAAGCAGGGGTGGGTTGCTGCCGGCATTACTGCCAGTTCGGCGCATGTGCATTTGCAACTAAAAAGGTCCGCGCATGCGCACAATGTCAGCAAAGGGGAAAGAAATCAATTTTTGGAATGGAGATCGTTCTGTGCATGGGCAGAACCGAAAATCAAGAGGGCGCTGATGACGAGAGAACCGGTTCGGGGGTGTGGCAGGCCGGGTTGCTACTTACTCAGCCGAACCGGTCCGACCAAACCGGTAGGAACCCTCCTCTGGGGCAAAGGGGTCTGAGGGATGAACCGTGGCAACCAGACCGATTTTCTGGGTTAGCTTCAGATGTTTTATGGCTCATCCAAGCAGCTTCCTCAGTCAGAGCAGGTCTGTAGGCAGAGAGTCATTGGAATGGGCCACCTCCTGCCACGCCAACCTCTAAGGGGTTTTCTCCCCAAAAGGCATTGCGATATGTCAATTAGGCCACACAGACAAAGGCGTCCGAAGGTTGAATCAGGACTTCCAAGGCCTCTCTGCCCTCCCTGGCTCCCTCTGACTGATGAAGCTGCTTGGATGAGCCGTGAAACGCCTCCAGCTGATAAGACAACCAGGCAGTCTGGTTGCCCCAATTCAGCCTTCGGTGCCTTGGGGATGAGTCAGAGTTGCAGAGAAAGAGACACGTCCTTGGCCTTGTGTCATTGCAGACCCCACAGATGCTTCCTGGGAGCAGAGGGTGGAAAAAAGGAGGGCTGAATCCAGGGATTGACAGCCTTGTCCAGGGGGTCTGCAGGGTGTGGTCCAAAAGGCCCATTTCATGGCCACTGGGGTCCCATCAAAGCTTCCCCCGCTTTTCATGGGAACCACACCTGCAGACACCTTCCCTCGCCCCACTTGCAGTAGGGGAAGCTGGGAGCAAAGTCTTTGGCCTGTGGGCGATGGGGGTCTGGCAGGAGAAATTGGGGAAGGGCAGAACAAGGTTGCAAAGGAACGGCCTTGTTACGGAGCGTCCCTGCCATCGAATCTTGCAGAAAGCTCTACTAGAGGAAATCTCTTTGAGGAGCAGAATGAGTGGAAGGCTCCCCTCCTTGCTACACTGGGGTGCAACCAGTCTTTGGGGTTATTTTGTTGATGCATGCAGACATCCGTGTGCCACCTGCTCCATAGGACTCCAGGCGGCTTATAATAACAGCAAGTTATTCCCAACCGATTGGCTAAGGCAACTCCGCCCCTGTTCACCCCCAACTGTTGCCAAAGGACCCACTGAAAAGGCTCGGGGAGCTCCAGACTGCAGGGCTGGCGTTAGGGTGAGCATCCTCCCCTCCACTCCAGAGGGGTGGGGGACCCTTGGCGTTCCCTCCCAGAGAGAAGGGCCAGAGGGCACCCGGGAGGTCTTGCTGGGAGGGACAGCCTGGAAGCTCCCGGCAGTTGAGCCACATGGGGCCTTGGAGGTGATGGCCACCCCTGGGAATTGATCCTGGTAGCTGTGGCAGCAGCCTCCCGTTGCGCCTTCGACTTCCTCACTGGCAGCCAGGCCACTGTCGCTCAGACCAATTAAGAAGAATGTGCTGAAGCTGTCTAATTGTCACAATTATTCAATCCCCCAGCTCCACAAATCCACAGCCTCCACCTGCTGAATGACCTTCTGAAGCCTATTTAAAAAGGGAAATGGGTGAAATTAACACAAGAAATCTCTGGATTCCAATTGCAGTTTCTAAAACAGAAGTTAAATCTCTGCCTGGCAAAGCCTTCCGCAGATCCGTCATTCTTCATGAATAGATAAGAAAATGCAAACTTGAGATTTTAGTCTGCATCAGAGTCGTTCGGTATTCACCCGAGACTGTTTTTCTTGCAACCCCCTACTCTCAACAGCCCAGCCTCGTGTCCCAGACTGGACAACTCTTGACGCAGCATCTCAAGCGTCTCTTTTGGAGGTTTCCAAGACTGTTTGGCAGCTGGAATTCTGCCAGGCAGACGAGTCACAATCCAAACTATTCTGGGAAATTATGTCTCCTGTCATACCCTGTGGAAGGAAACACAGTATCGGTTCCAATTGGGGAGGGGGATCCATGGAGAGGGACAGAAAAGATGGATTTCTTCCTCCTCCCCAGTTGGAAATGAGGCGGCTGTCAAAGCAAGGGAGCGCCCCCCCCCGTGTGGCTTCTTCAAACAGAAGAATTAACAGGAGGGGAGGATTCGTTGGACAAGCCAAGGGGCGCAGGCTGCTCTCACCACTGACGGCCGCCTCGTTTCCAATGAAGGGGGTGGGGAGTCCATGCGATTTCCTACCTCTGCATGGATTCCCCGCCCTCCTTCTGCGCACCCGCAAGCCAAAACCTCCCGGAAGGCTTCTGCTGGTGGGAAAGCAGGGGGAGGGGCAGGCTAGGGGAGGGCTGTTCCGGTTCCGGGCCCCCAGAAGCCCTGGTACGGGAAGGCACGCTAAATTCTTTCGACCGGTACATGCGTACCGGACAGAACCGGCTGAAACCCACCTCTGTCCTGGTGGCATATTTTGGGTCTGCTGTTCACTATTGAACCTGGTGAATCAGGACCATTCCTGGTCTGCTACCTGCCGTCTTCCTCTCTTTCATGGCCGCTTTTCTCGTTGCTTCTTGGCTAGGAGACCAGCTAAGTGAGCGAGTGGCCTACCACCGCCTGGCGGTCATCCACCATCACTTGGGGCAGTGTGAGCTGGCTGAGCACTTCTTCCTCAAAGCCGTTTCCCTCTGCCCCTCCCCGCTGGAGTTTGATGAGGAAGCCCTCTATTACGTCAAAGTGTACCTTCTCCTGGGAGACATCACCTTCTACGACCTGAAGGTAAGGCAGGAAGGAGCACCTGAAGATGGGAAATCCCTCTTGCTTCACCTGGTTGCAGAATCTTTACGGGAGACACAGGAGAACAGACCAGAACAGGCGGAGAAGCTGGGATGGCTTCAAATAATCTATGCTAAGTGTAGCTTTCATCATGTTTCCCCCAAAAGAAATTGGATTATCTCACCAGAAAGGCAGAGATGCACAAGCAGCAGCTCAACAGAAGCCTGTCTACACTTCCCAAGGTCCATAACTTCTTAATGGCAGTTTCCCTGTGTCCCTCTCCTCTTTAATTTTATGAGGAAGCCTTGCTGATTTAGAGGACTTGGACTGTGATTGTTTTCCCGATGATGTTTCCCCCAGTGACTGCTGCCTCTGTCTTCCCCTGTGCAGCGACGGCTTTTTGAATAATTTGTGTAAAAAAAGAAAAAAAGGGAGGCAATCAAATTGCAGCATTCAAGCCACAGCCTCTTGCACTCAAAAGGTGCAAAATGTTTTTGTAGAAAGAAAAGGCTCCTAATTTTAGATGAGGGAATGTGGCGTCCTCATTAAACTGATGCTTGTTCCTGCACACCTATACAACCTCCCCCCCCCCCCCCCCCCGGCACCTTCCTGCCTTCTTTGCAGGCTCAGGAGAGAAGCCCTGTTTGTTATCGCTCTCATGACAACCCAAGCAGAAGTGAACTGTGGAGATTAGACCGAGGAAGAAACCACGGCAGAAAAGGAAGAAAATGGGGGGCAGCCCTGAGGGTCTGGGGTGGCTGGAGTGACGCCCTGTCAGGCAGATGAGGGGCAAGGCTAGGGGAACCATGGGGAGGGTCAGAGCATGGAATGAAGCAGCTGGAGGAGGGGGCACAGAAACCGCCCGTCGCCTGCCCCCTTCCTGGCGCAGGGAGAGCAGGGGGGGGGGCACAAAAGACACTCTGGCTTTTCTTGGCCCAGAAGGAGCTTTGCCACCATTGCTAAATCTCAATGGCAGATGTGTGAGTTTGTCTGCGTGGAAGGATGTATCTTTTGGTTCAAGCAAAACATGGGAAGGTGGAGGCTGTGGGGCAGGTCGTTGCTGCGTTACTTTTGTAGGTGTCAACCTTGGCAAGGACGTCCCTAAGGAATCAGAAAGCCTTTTCTGCCACGATGGTGTCTTCTATTTCCTTTGGGGTTTTATAATTGGGTGAGCAGAGCCACTAGCAGGAATAGCAAAGAATGAGGCAGAACAGAGTTACTGTCGATTGGTTGGAGAGAGCCGTCTCCCCTCCGTGAGGCAATCTGCACTGGGATTGGTTGCTGTGGGTGTGGAGGGGGAGTTTCCCTTTTTCCCGCCTTTTTTCTTCTGAGTGCCTTGTGTGCTCTGGGATTTACCTCACGATGCTCCTCTTTGCCAGACTACCTTATATATATATAGATAGATAGATAGATAGAGATAGAGATAGAGAGAGAGAGAGAGAGAGAGAGAGAGAGAGAGAGAGAGAGAGAGAGAGAGAGAGATGAAATATATATATATATATATAAATCTATAAGTTT